AGACCGCATCAAAAAGTTTAATGTCAATCTCGAGGAGCACGCTGTTTTTATCCTCGTGGTCCGGTCACTGAATGAGATGTTCTCGAAAATGTAGATTTCAACACTGTTTTGTGCAGTAAATGAATGTAATGTAACAAATGTATTTCCACATATTAACATAAAAATATGCTTTGATTTTAACATTTTAATTATAGAAATTTCCAAAGAAAGCTGTTGATGTGAAGCTGCACGCTTGTGGTATACACTGCTCAGGAATTCCTGATGTAGCATACAATGACCAATCCACCATGCCATACAAGCAACACCAGTTTCACCTCAGGCATTTCAGGCTCCTGAGTATAAACAGGCAATATTTGTTCTCTTATGGTTACTGCACACATTACTCGAGGTGTGTCTGTGTGAGCAGGCCAGGTAAGGTCAAGGAAAGTTAAAAAAAAAAAAAAAAAGTTAAATCCTTAATAAAACAAACAAATTTTGAACTAACTGGGTTTTGAAGTACACGTGTTTTATACAGAATTGTAGAAAGGTGGTCATTTTGAAATGGCTCGGCATTCTGCCACTTATATCTTATTGTATCAGTATTAGTAAATTTTCGCTAATAGAAACTGACAAAGAGGGAAAACTCCCTAATACGTACGTCTATAGCAAAGAGTATGTGCTCAGTCTTTGCCATAAATGGACACAACCTCTTAAGACACGAGGTTCCTTATATTTCTGTCAGAGAGAGTACTTCAGAATACTTTTAGATGAGGTACATCACTAGAGTTTTCAGTCATTTTCACAGAGTTGTGCGTCCACATTGAAACGGCCGAACATGCTTCCGTTCCAGTCCTGCGCATGCGTGAAACCAAGACGATTCGGCCTGCCTCATTTCCGTCTGCCGTTTATTTACTTTCCAGCTTGTTGAAACGTCGCGGCAAAATGTTGAGGAAAAGCAGCGAGTTTTTTTTTTTTTAAATGGACCAACAATGAGCTGGAGTTGTTGCTGCGAGTAACACAAAAGTACAAAGTTGCAAAAGCCAGTGAGAGTTAAAGAATTTGAAGAAAAGCTCTCAGGAGCACGTGCAGACTGATGTTAATCTTTAATAGGGCTGTCAAACCTGAGAGCAAACAAAACAACTGCTGTATAATGCCCTCCGCTGTCTTAGTTTGATTGGTCACATGACTGCACCATATGACTAACGTGTCATCGTTTTGGAAAGTTTGCATTTTCGCTGTCCACACTGCGACGCGAAAGCACCGCTTTCAAATGTATGCGTTTTCCATCAGTGAAAACGGCGTCTCAGTGTGGACGGGAGGCCAAAACGGAGAGAAAAAGATGCGTTTCCAAATGAAAACGCATTATTGTGGACATAGCCATAAATAGTCTCTGGTTTCCGAAAACTTTGACTCCAGCACCATATTTAACACAGCACTGTGAGAGTGGCAACCCTCTTCTTGAATTTCAAGTTCTTTCTTCAAAAAGCCAAACATGGGGTGCATATATCTGTGATGTGCTCATAATGATGAAATAAAAATACATCATAGATTAAAAACATCGATCGAATTACCGGTGTTCTTTTGAAATGTATATAGATTTGTATAAGCACGTTGGTGGGCTACAGAGAGCCCTTTATGAACGTGGTAAAGAACTGAACACTAGTATATTCAACTGAATATTACTTATTGATCAACAGACTGCTCTGCATATCATATTTAAAAACATTATACATGTATTCATAATTACCATTGCTCATTAAAGAAAAAAACATATTTTTCTTATCATCTTTTTGTTCTAGTAGACTCCGAGAATTTATAAGAGACGGCTGGTGTGTAGAATACTGTTGAATAAATATTAAGAACCTTTTCTGGAATAGGCCTGGTATCGCTGTTTTGGATATCCAAAGACAGTGTCAACATCACCCATGGGAGTGGCTGTAGCTCAGGAGGTAAAGCAAGTCATCTACTGATTGGAAGGTCAGTGGTTCGACCCTGGCTCCTCGAGGCTGTATGCCAATTATCCTTGGGCAAGCTACTAACCCTCTGATGCATCTATCGGAGTGTAAATGTGTATGAATGTTAGCTAGGAAGCACTAAGAAATTTATAAGAAAGTGCTTGGGTGAATGTGGCATGTTGGATTGAGTGCTTTGAGTGCTCCGGGAGAGTAGAAAACCGCTATATTAGAATCAGTCCACTTACCATTAGATATCACCTAAATGGGGGATAAACAGAGGATATAAGTCAGTGAGACGTGTCTGTCTGTAGGGGGGTTTCAGGGCTTTAGCTTTGATGAATCCTCAATACCAAATATTCGAAGATTGCACCTTAAAAAAAATCTTAAGTGTATTTTATAGCACAGTAACTTTCAAAGCTTTACACAATTGAGACAATTGATTCTAAATGCATTCCAGGATGCTTCGTTCTGTTATCAGGGATATAGCGAGGCAACCAATCAGATGTCAGGGTCTGCTGATGAGCCACCGTGACAGGTTGGATTATTTGAATGCTTCTCAGTGTAAATGATATGAGCAGTTTCTTGGGAAAGTGGTTTCATTTCAAAAGATGGTGTCAACACTGCTGATTATGTTCATTTTCAACAGTTTTAGTGAAATATCAGAGAATAGAGGTCAAAATCAGCGGTGTGCAATACCACAACCTGCGGTGAGACAACAAAGGCAAGATTTCCTGAGACAGTTTGAAAAATCTACAAAATTCAGTAACTTGAATTAGTGGTAATAATAGAGCTGCGCCATTGTATTCTTATTGTTTACTGAGGCAGATTTAACAGGACTTTCTTTTTCAGGATTCATCAAAAGTGAAATGTTCAGCAGAAACATGATTTGTATTTTAAAAAGCTCTAAATGCATTTCTGATTTCCTCCTCAGATTCTAGCCCCCTATCATCTTGTGAGCACTCAGGCAGCCTGCAGCAGACGCATCCTACAATTATGAGTGCTGATTATGAGCCGGTCTGTAGTGAGGAGAAGAACCTGGACGTGGATTTTGTCACCAGGGCAAAGAACAATGAGTCTATAGTAGGTATCTGCTATAAAGGTTTCCACAGGTCTCAGAAATACATAGAAACTGTATGATGTGAAGGAGGTGGCTGCAGGAATGTGTTTGCAACTGCTATGCAATTGCAAATTTATAGCACCCTATCCCGTAAATGCAGGGAGGTGTAACACGCAGTGAGTGAAAAGAGGTGACTGAAGAAGAAATACACGGTGCATCATGGGAATCCCCCGGCAGCCTGGAGCTATTGCAGCATAACTAAGGGAGGATTCAGGGTCACCTGATCCAGTCCTAACTATATGCTGTAGTAAAAACGAAAGTTTGAAGCCTAATCTTACAAGGAGAGATAGTGTCTGTCTCTCCACAGAAAGGGCCCTGAAAGCTGAAGGCTCTGCCTCCCATTGTACTTCTAAATATTCTAGGAACCAGGAGTGAAGCACTCTCAGACTATGAGGTCTTTGAGATAAGATGGGACTTCTTCTTTCAGCAAGACAAGGCCAAATCACACACTCAGGTTGTCAGCAGCAAAAGCTTGAATTAGCTGTACCAAAGACTGATTGGAGTCGTTTGGACGTAGATGTTTGACCTGATGCATCATTTGCAATAATAATAATGAAGGGATGACTGATGTTTGCAGTAAATTGATAAAGAAAAAAAATCAATCATCCAAAATTTCCAAAGAACAGAAAACAAATGAAATACAAAAAAAACAAATAAAAAAATCAGATGAAACTAAAACAGAACAAGTAGACACAAGCACAAAAATTTAAAAAGGCCTGGAACTCAAATTGTAATGCAATCGTAGCATCCCAGGCTCGACAGTTACTAGAGTCAATATCTTTTTCTTAATTCATGTCCATGAAATCAGTCGAGCTTTTTTTTTACTCCACCCAGTGTTACCAATTAATGCTACACAGACACTGTTCACAATAAAAGAATCGAAAAATGTAGTCAGTATTATTATGCACTAAAATAAGATGCCTTGGAGCTTGATTATTCTTTCTCACTGTCAAGTAGGGCTGCCACGATTAGTCGACTAGTCACGATTACGTCGACTATCAAAATCGTCGA